TTTCCAACAGCAACCTATATTTAGCCCTTTCCTTCCAGGAGGCCACGTGCCCCATCAGGATTGGAGCCACCTGCACTCCAGACCTCCAAGCACTGCACTTCACATGCTGAAGAGCCTGTAATAAAAACAAACATCCCCTCTGCTGTCACCTACAGCGAGTTATAAAGATTACTGCTTACAGATCTAACTGGAAATAACCATAATGCACAGGATCTCAGCTCTGGGGAGTGATTTATTTACATGCAATTAGACAGGATGACTAACAGGAGCTTTTTTTATGACACTCCAGTTTCCCTGAAGGTTGGAATTTTCTTTCTTGTTTAAAATAAACTAGAGCAACTCACAGACATGGAAACATACTTTGATTTTTGGATCACACCAGATCCAAATGCAAAAAAAAAATTTAAAAATGACCTTATAGGTCAGAAAGTTACTGACAAACCTTCCAGATGAGAAAAAATGGGAAACAGCAGCTCAAGACCTCAGCAAAGAGCTATTCCTGCAGCAAATGCTAAGTCAGTCCGGCCTCGTGGGCTCCCTTTCAACTCCCAGCAGCACTAAACACATCACTGCTCATTGCAAATGATTTGTGGGTAAGAAACAGGAGGAAGAGCTTCTGCCAACCTCCCAGACCCCATCACGGCACTGCAACGGATGTGTCTGCCCAGATTGTGGCAACAGAAGAGCTCAGATAATGACGACCACCAAACCCCTTCAGATCCATCACCTCCATCCTGGAGAGAACCAATCAGCAGAGCTGAGCCAGCAACCAGTTCCCAGTAGGATAAAGTGCTACTGGTGAGCCCAGGGATGGAGCACCTGCTGCAGAGAGCAGGACAGGAGCAGATCAGGAGGGGGAGAGACCCCTCGGGGTGACAAGGGACAAAAAGCCACGTCCACACAAGCATCTTTCCCTTGCACATCCTCACCCAGAGCTTTTCTAGCAGCCAGAAGCAGTCGCAGGGAGGGACAGTGGGACAGTCCTGTCTGCCAGCAGGACCCAGCCATTGGCACTGCTGCACCACATCACTGGGACCCTGAGGGTGCCAGGAGTGAGCCAGGGCCAGCACCCGGCCAGAGACACCCTCCCTCACCCTGACTCCTGGTAGCCTGAGCGCTGCCCCCAAAGCGGACCCAGCTCCAATTCATGGGAAGCCATCCTTATCTGGAGTGTTGTGTCCAGTTCTGGGCCTCCCAGTTCAAGAGGGACAGGGAACTTCTGGAGAGAGTCCAGTGGAGCCACAAAGAGGATGAGGGGCGTGGAGCATCTTCTGTATGAGGAAAGACACAGAGAGCTGGGACTCTTCAGCCTGGAGAAGAGCAGACTGAGAGGGGACCTTATCAATGTCTATAAATATCTAAAGGGTGGGTGTCAAGAGGA